ATATATATATATATATATATATATATATAAATTACCTATACGTATATCATCAAAATTAAACGAAAAGATACAACTCGCATGTTTCAATGCATTTGCTGCTGCTTGATAACAACTTTTTATAGAGTATGTGTCTAAATATATATCGAAAGATTACATCATTCATTAAGACGAGTCAAAAAAGAATGAATTTTTTGTGGAATTCCAACGTTTCGCCCGTCGTACACACACTCGTAATAGCTCGAAGATGATGTTCCTACATGAGAGGACGAATTCTTCTTCTTTTTCTTCTTTTTCTTCTTTTTCTTCTTCCACGTCGAAGTTTTCGCTAAGACAGGCTATCGCGCCTGAAAAAGATGCTTTCAGGAGGTAACGTTGTTGATACGAGCGAATGCTATATAAGATGATCGCCAACTCCAGCTGACTCAGTAGTCATTCTCTTGCAACACAACGTACGTCAGAATTTGTTAGTGGCAAAATTTTGGTTTGCGCGTTCTCCGCTTGTTATATCAACGATATATCAACGACAAAAGAGAGACCAATAAGAGCGAAACGTAATTAAATTCTATTCTTCTTTTTTTTCTCTTATTTATTATTTTGTGCATTTTTGTTGTTACTGTTATTTAAGGCACGTCGTAATTTGAACGATCTTTATTTGCGATGGATATCAGACTGTACGGTCTACTGCTCATTTTTGCAGTCGTTGGATCCAACGCCCATTTGAATTCCTTTGTCCGTGCTAGTAGAAATCGTAGAGGTGAGTACTAATTTGTTTTTTATTTCCTTTTTACAACAATATTAATTAATACGAAATAGAAAGAAGAAAAAATAATGTAACCATCGGTTCCAACGGTACGAGTTATGTTCATTTAGATTCGTGCACTAACACGTAAACGTATTCTTACTCGATCGTTGTTCTGTCATTTATGCTAACATTAACGGACAAAAGAGACTATAATGATTAAAAGAAAATTAATTGTATTTCTTTTTTGTTTTCTTTAATTTTTCGTATCTTTATGTTTTCTATTTCTATCTTTATGTTTTGTATAATATTATATATGCTCTATAAAATTTAGAAATTTGTCAATCGCTTCTATAACGTCGTCATGGGATAAAAAAGGGGAAATCATTTTTTAATCATTTTTAATCTACGAGATTAATAATAAAAAGAAACAAATTCGAAGCTATCTTACGTAAACGCAAATCGCCTTGTGTGTTTAAGACAAATTGCCGAGAACCGGGATTTCAAAGACTGTTGCAAGATAACCGAGACGTAAATTCGTTCGTCTGTGAAAATGTCTTGACAACTTCATTTATATAACACAGAATCGTGAGAGCAAAGTTAGGAATAAAAAGTGAAAGAAAAGTAACCTATTCTTCTTAAACTTCGAAATTGTCGAGTAAAACCGATCGACAACGGATCGTCGATCGATTTTATTGGATATTTTGTTGTTCTTGTGTATTTAATTTAGTAGTCAACTAATTTTGTTAATTGTTTATCATGACGAATACTAACGTTGTGTATTTATGTTTTATATATATATATACCTGTATAGCCATAGGAATTAAACATAAGCGCAAATAAGATACGTATGTGTATGCATTTTATGTAGCGATGAATGAACTTTGAACATATGTCTAAAGTTTTGAATCAATTTGAATATTATTCGATAACCCAAAAATTCATGGAAATTTTGCAAACGTTTATACGCATTAGAAAATGTTAATTAATGTTGAATCCCTCACGTATATAGTATACGTATAACATAAATAATGATTTTCAATTGAAAATTATGGTTATTACAAAATTTTCTATGATTATAGCATATCGTAAAAAATATTAAAGTATATTTAAAAGAAGATTGTAAAAGTGATTTAACTGTTACATCTTATAAGACTTTCAAGAATTTCCGGTTTCGTCTAATGCGCAAAGTGATTCTAAACTCCGATTGCGAATCGTACTGGCAAAATAAACTATCATCTCTATGTATCTATGTATGTGTATCTATGTATGTGTATCTATGTATGTGTCTATAATCGCGATAATAGATAGTCATATCTGTCTATCGATATATGTATACATGTAATGGCAGTATAGTTCGCCGTAGTATCGTTGTTCGCATGTAATATGCATGTAATATGTATGTAAAACAACAAGTATCACGATCCACAGTGAAATAATCTACCGAGACGTTTCTGAACCATGACCTCGTTTCTGTTCCCTACCTTGACCCGGACAAAAACATCGATATTTTCCTTTCCCTCCGTTTTCTCTTTATGTTTTCTTATCGTTCTGCATCTCATCGCCATAATACCATCTCAAAACGAATCGTTTCTTCTTCATTTTCATTTCATTTAAATGACAATGAATGTCTTTTTGCTTTTCAAACTTTCTCCAAGTATGCTACTCAAGTGAAAAATCATCGCAAAAAATCTGGTTAGACGTGTTTTATCGTACTTTCGTGACAAAATGACATTTTTCTTATTCCTTTCTCAGTTCGATAATGTTGAATCGGAAGTATTCCATAAATGTATAAATGCGCATTCAATAAAATCATATAAAGTTAATTTTTTTATTTTTTTTTTTACTTTTACTTTTATGTTGGTTAACATATTACTACGTTAAAATATCAAATGTGTTTTGTGTTTGTGGTCAAGAAAATGGAATGGTATCCTTGGACTAATAGCATGTATACGAGTAGGAAAAATGAAAATTCGAATATTATTCGAATCGGATAATTGTACGTGTATTATGTTTTTTTTATCGATCAAGATGTCGAAAGGAGTGTCGATAGTTACGGGCTGGAAGACTACGATTTAGTCAAGATAATTAAACGTGCGGCTGATTCCAAGGATACCGATGCTAAGACAACTACTGAGAGTAATGAGGATAACACTAGTCTTACCACCAAAAATCCTGGCACTCCGAGTCCTGGCACTACGAGTCCTGGCACTACGAGTCCTAGCACCACGAAAGCTACTACACCAAAACCTAAATCGACCAAACCACCAAGTACCACCACCTCCAACGCAATCTCGTCTAAACCTACGACTAAATCAAATCCAACATCAACAGAAACGACTACGAATAAGCCTCAGTTGGGATCAAGATCGGCATTCGACACCAAAGATGATTCTACATCGAAGCCAACTAATCCAGATGAAAAAGGAGACAAAAAACCATCGGCCTTATCACCTCGAACGAAAGCAGATACGCCCGATAACAAAGACAAAAGTCCATCCTCACCGTCGTCAGGTTCTAATCCTAACGAATCAAGATTTAATCCGAGTTATTCGCAACCTGGTAGTTACCCATTCCCAGGATATAACTCTATACCTCCTTATGGTCCTAATTATGCATTTACCAGTACTAATCGTGGTCCCGGGTCGGCGAGTGCATCGGCTAGCAGTTTCGCCAGCGCCGGTGCATCATCGTCGAGTAATCCAAGCAATCCACTCTTCAATTCGCGCGGTGGATTTCCTTTTAATAATCCTTACTACAATCCCAATGGATATGGATCCGAAAATGTATGGCCGGCCACCAATGACGCTTCTCAAAATACTCCTGTGAAACCTAAAACAAATTCTCGTTCTTATTTCAATACGGAAGACAAGTCCGACAAGTTACCTTCGAATAATCCGACAACTGGAAATAATGCCAGTCCAGTTAATAATCCTAACTCCATACCATCCAGCGGCCCACAAAATTTCCCAAGTCGTACTTTCGGAGGTCCATACAGTCCCAATTTCGATTATCCTCCCGCGAATGGGGTTCAGGGACCTAATTATGCCTGGACTAATTCTGGACCCGGATACGCTGGAGCAGCTGCAGGTGCTTCCTATAGTTCTGGATCATCACCATCGTTTAATAGTCGTGGCGGGTTCCCCGATAATAGTGCTGGAACCGCATTTCCGGATAATTCAGGATACTCTCCTGGTGCCGTAGGTAGGAATATGACTGTCTGATCTAATGGCAAATAAATTGTATTGAAAACCTTTGTAGTAATTGGAACCGAATGTTATTACAGTAGAAATGATATGAAAATTAATTTCAAATTAAAAAAAAAAAAAACGAAAAAATCAATTTAATCATTGTCGTTGAAAAATAATGTCAATGCTTATCTACTATTAACGTAGGTAATCATGAAATCTGTTTGGAAAGACAGATCATTAAAACTTGTAATAATACGGAAAAATACGAGTTCCCAGCTTATCTAAAACCACGATTCGTTGATAAATGATCGCGTAGAATGTTAATGAATGTAAAGCGATATATTGAAAACCTTTGAACCTTGAATACCTTGTCATCAAATGACAAGGAAATATCCACCAAATGTCTAACTTACTTTTATTTCTCGTCCATTTTCGACAACGAACATTTTTAAGGGGTTAAAAAAATAACTTCGAATAGAATTCAATAGCAAATTTTTCCTAAATGAATTTGAACGTTCTATAGGTACTGGTTACCAACCTGGATTTAACCCTGGATTTGGCTCTGATTTTGACAACGGCTTCTCATTCCACCAACGCATGATGGAAGATCATTTCAGGCGCATTCAAGCACAATTCGAAGCTCAACAACGAGCGTAAGTTTTTCGTCGAGTGTTTCCCATACTGATTTACACATAAATAATATATTTTGTGTTTAAATATATAAATATTATTTTGTTTTTTAAACATACAGGTTATTCGACGCAAATAACGGAATAGGAGGAGGAGGAGGTGGTCCTAATTATGGTTTTGGTTCTTCTGATCCAGGAATTCAATCCGCTATTTCAAGTATTAGTGTCGGACCTGGAGGTGGTTACCAGGCCGGTCAGATAAGTCCCGTAAGTTTGTCATTTAACAATCTAATTATCTTACAGCTACATATTGTTTTGTTATCTAATCATTTATATCTAATTGCTGAGATCATAAATCAATTGTTAATTCTTATAAAAATATTAATAAATATTTATAATTTGTAAACGTCAATGATATAGGTTGCACCAGGAGTAGAATCTCGATTTGCTGACCCATTACCAGCACCGTCAGGAGGACCAATTGGTGTCTTTGCTAGTTCCCGATCTTCCAGTGTTACAGATGATTCTGGAAGGACTATTGCTCATAAATCAGCAACCACTGGATTAAATGACAATGGAAAGATTACTTTCCGTACTGTCGAAGATTAATAATGTTATTTAATGTAATAATATTCAATTATGTGCTATATTATTATAGAAATATGTATACATATATTTCTATATGCATTTAATTTGTATATCTACTCGTTTATAACCGTATGTAATATGCAGATGTAAAAGTTCAATTAAACTAATGTTCGCATCGAGCGTAAAGCGAGATGTTTATTTCTCAGGGTAATTAATACATATTGCAAGTTCCACTTTTCTAAATATTACCTTGTATGCGTAAGAAATAAAAGGATTAACAAAGACAAACAATAAGATAAAATAATAAAAATACTCGTTTGCATTTGCTAAACGTATCGTTTTAGAAGATTTTTCATATTTATTATTAATCAAATGTCATTGTTACTTTCATGATAAAAAAATAAAGACAAGTGATTTTACGACATTTTCATAGTATTCGTTCTCTTTCCTTGCTTTCATTCGCGTTTACATTTACAACGGGAGAATCCTCATACGATGATAGTCGTCGCATTGTTCTTAAGTTCTAGAAATCTCTTACTCCTCGGATTGCTTCGTTTTACTCAGCGGAGGTTCGATCTTATCATCGACTTTAACTCTTCGCGGAAACCATGGCCTTGAATTTTGAAAACCCTTGTTGAATAAGTGCTGTTCGTGATTACGCATGTTATACCAAGTCGGATATATTCTTCCGTAGTTCCTTCGATCTTGGAAATTAACTTCCCCATTATTTGGTTCTAGAAATCCACGGACTTGAACCTGACGTAATTGATAAAAAAAAAAACAAACAAATGATATGGATATAATATTTTATGCATGGGAGGAGACTTGAAATAAATGAAATTGATTATAGCATAAACATTGAATAAAAATTAATAAATTTTCGATAAGAATAAAGACAAAAATTACTTGCGGTATATCGTTACGTAGAAGATGAGTGAAAGTTGGTATCGCATGATCATGAGAATGAAACACGGGAGGTGACACGGGAGGTGACACGGGAGGTGACATGGGAGATGGTTTTTCTTCGATGCCTCGAAATCCATCGATGATAGGGATTTCGTCGACTTCGATGTTCGGCTTCGTGCTCACGGTGATTACGGTGATATGTACGTCCGTGACAATGTTGCCTTCTTCGTTGGTTCTTGATGAAACTGATACGTCGCAAACACCATTTTCGCAAGAACCTACATTCGATTTCTTTCCTGTCTCGTTTCCGTTTACAAAAATTCTTACATTGTTTATTACAGCGTTTGCCGTTTTTCCGGGTGATACCTAAAACAAAATTAACAAATGTAACATTTATTGTTTAATGAATAATTATTCTTTGAAATATAAGCTTATGTACACTTTGAACATAAAACTGGAAATAAATGTTATCAATAATAAACTATCATCTTGTCGCATTGAATAATTATCCTAAGAAAAAATATGTTAACCAGGAAATGTTTCTTCTAAAAAGAAACTAGGTCTTTGGCTCTTTCGGTAAAAGATAAATAAGAAATAAAGGAATAGGGCTGAAATGCGGCCCACTTGCCATAAAAGTCATACTTTTTACAGTTTATGTCGTTGAGAATACTCGTAAAACGATTTTACGCTATACGCGTCTCGAGTATTTCTTGTTTCAAAAGAAAATAAATGAAACGTTAAGATTCCCTGTATAACCCTCTCTCTCCTTTTCTTTATTCCCTTTTCCTGCGAAATGGATTCGCGAGTTACAGTCTGGAATTTATAATATCCTTCCCTCTATAGAAATGCATAAGTCATCGCTTTGCACTGCCCATTCATCAAATTCAAACCGTAACACCTTCTTCTATTTCTTTCAATTAGACGATAAATATGACGACACTTTTTAATATCATTATTTATAAAAATAAAATGATTAATTAAATTCTAAAAAATGCTCACGGATGATTGATGCGTTCTTCGTTTTCTCAAATCTTCTGGGAAACTTGATCTTACGAAAGATTGACTCGACCGATGTAACCATGGGTTGTTGAATTGTTCCTTGATGCGTATCGATGAATCTTTTGGGACATTTATGGTTCTTTCCTTTTGGTCTGAGACAGCGACAGGACTATCGGAAGATATTCCATGGATTTCGTTCGAGTCGAGATCTATCTTCGAGGAGATGTTTAAATCAGAAACTGTTTCCTTCACAAAGATAATAGTTAGATAAACGATCGACCATCTTGCAAGTTTTTTCATCTCGCTTAAAAAGGACAAAAAAAAGAAAAAAGGACGTGACAAGTTGACTGATTTTTTCGTCGTCACTGAACGAAAGACAAATATCAAATCCGTTGTCTTTACTAACGTCAAAGTCGTGGTTATCTTGGTCATTAAAAAAAAAAAAAAGAGAAAAAAAGAGAAAAAAAAGAGAAAAAAAGAGAAAAAAAGAAAAAAAAGGGTAGGGAGATGAAATGTACGAGATGCGTGCAGGATAATAACGATCGCTGCTTGAGAAAATTACGATGACCTTCGTGAATCCTAAGAATATAATAAAAAAAAAAAATCAAGACATACGAARGAGAAATCGGTAAGAAGAATTTTTTTATACCGGATTAATTTGATGTCTTGGATTGCCAATCTTAATTACTTCCTGAATTTATTTACTATAAGATCCAAGATTATTAATCCTGCTAATTGAGATGGTTTAATTAGCGTAGAAAAATCAATAATTAGACTTTGACAGTTTTAACGTGAAAGATAATGATCATCGATTATAATCACATTTCTAGAATATAAATTATTATTAACACTAGATTGCCCGAGACTTTGTATATACCTATATTGCACAAAAGCAGTCAAAATGACTGTTTTGTGAAAGAATAAGTAATGTATAAAGAAACTCATTTAAAATTAATTTATACCATAACGATGGTCGTTGTTCATCTTTTCTTAAATAATGAAAACCTTTCAAAACATATTTGCTACTAACATCTGTGAGACTTGGGTTATTTTTTATTCTATTAAGAATAGTAAATCCCACGTGTTGCCGCCGCTGCTAGAGTTAATCAATATATTTTTAACTTATTACACTAATGTAACACTCAACAGAGCTCTCTTACGCACTTTCTCACAATGCTTTCACAAAGATTCGCTAACTTAAAAATCGCTCACACAATCACCCTTTATTCTTACTATCTCCTTCTATACTCGTTCTCACTATTACCTTCTACTCTTGCTCTCACTAATCAAAACTCACAAACTCGCTAATTCGCTAATTCACTAACTCGCAAAACTCGCTGTTCTCACAAAAATTCACCTTCTACTCTTACCCTCGGCCATCATGACGTCATACAACAAGCTTGCGCTTGTTCTTCGCT